AAACATAAAACCATATTCCTTAACGTCGGTTGGTTAAGTTCATTAACCATGAGTTGCACGTTCCATGTCGTTTTGTGCCACTGTAGTTCAGTGCGCAAATTGTGCTGGATATGATAATGCAACTACGAACCTTAAGAGAATACATAAAACCGTATTTTTAACGATGATTGTGTTAATTCATGACAGATTACAGCACAGCTGAATGAAGTGAAAACTGACGTCCGAGTTCACATTAGCTAATGAATTAGGTGATGAGTGTGTTGGCCAAAAAAGAAAGAGTTGTTGATCACGAACCAACATGCAAACATACCATAGTTAGTGGAGGGGACCCTCCACTAACTATAAACGTACTAAAATCTATAAAAATTATGGCGCTTCATGACACATTTACTGTGACCATTCCCTTCTCACTCTTCTTTTAGCTTACTTATCTAATAGCTTTTAAGAGTTAAAATTCTTTCTTAATGGAAGCAACCGTGCTTCGATTTTAACAGGGTAACAACGGATAAGAAATTTTCGTTCGCTGGTGAGGATAGGACATCTAAAAACTTTTGAGTTACCTCAATTTGACCTCTTGGTAAAGCAGTAGACCTAAATTGCCTCACCAACAAGAGAAATACAGGAAATAATAAAAAGCCCTCGAACGGTCAAAATATGATTTGAAAAAATAAATTCATGTTTATGCTGCCCCTCTGCAACTTCGATATAGCATCCAAAAAAACACTATCATTTGAGCGTATTCTGTTTCCTCGGAGAAGTTATCAACAAGATATAGAGTCTTCTTTGGATAAACTTTGGCTATGTGGCTGGCCACATAGCTGCTTTAATAACGTTTCGATCCAATTTTAATTACACAGATTAATGGAAGACACTACCAAGAAAAGGTGAGGGCAAAAAATCGGTAGCATCAAACAGAGAAAAGAACACGCGGCTAGGGTATGGGTGAGGGGCGTTAGAAAATGAATGCATGGCGCGGATGCCAACATCATTTACGAATGCGTGTCCAAAGACCGCATAACAAAGAAAATTTGGCCATATGGTTCTCAGAATGTCTGAACACAGAATGCCTCATCCCATTGGGATACTCTAGCCACGCATAACTAGTCAACTTTAAACACCAACTGAGGGGCAGCATAATAATTTTATTGTGTTGACAATAATTGGTTCATTTTTTTTTTTTTTTCTATATATGGCAGGTTAGTGCAGAGCTAGAGAAGCTGAAAACCAAAGTAAGTTTATTTAAATATATAATTACTTAGGTATGGCAAGGAAAATGCAACGCTTTACTGTAGTGCAAAAGATATATCTTGTTC